TATTACAAATAATATACACAAAAACAGGAAAAATTACTTGATAATTCAGATGCATTGACCTGGAAAGTTAGTTGGCAAAGGAAGAAACCTAGAGTAAGAGTGAAGAAAATAGAGGTTTTGATCCATTAGATGGGATATTATATTATTTAGATGTTTGAATATGGTGGAGGATAGATAATTGCTAGATATAGAAGTACTATCATAACTAGAAAGATAAGATTTGTAAGGAGAATATTAGATTTTGGTGCAAGAAGGGAAACAGGAAAAGGCTAAGAAGTTTGAATAAGAAGGGAAACAGGAAAAGGCTAAGAAGCTTTTGGTTACCCAAATATAACTTACTTTGGAAGTATAAACAACAGAGACATTTTGGTGGGAAAATAAAATTTAAAAAAGCAGAAATAAGATACTGATTGAACCTATGGATATTAAGTACAAATGCAATTAAGATATGTTTTGGTTAGAAAAGTAATCTAAAAGTGATATTATTGATATTATGAGAAAAATGTAACAAAGATGTTGATATTCAATTATATATTTATTAATAACAATAAAAATTGTATTTGCCTAGTATGGGAAAACAGGTACTACCAGAAGAAGAGAGGAAACATTTGATGGTGTAATATTGGATCTAGACTGAAGAAGTTAATATATACCACTGAATTACTAATGGACCCAGACAACATGTTGTCTATTAAGTATTTGATTGTAAAACTAGAAAATTAATAAAATATTTATTAATAAAAAAGACATTAGGGATATTTGGCCAAAGGGAAGATATTCACAAAATTAGACCTGGGGGGGGCATACTATTGAGTAAGAATCAAGGAAGGCAACAAGTGGAAGACTGCCTTCAACTGTCCCCTCAGAAGCTATCAATTTAAAGTGATGCCTTTTGAACTATAAGGGGGCCTTGCTGTGTTCATGTAGCTCATAAATGAGGTGCTACATGAGCACTTATACAAAGGGATTTTAGTGCACCTGGTGACATCCTTATTTACACTGAAACCATGGACAAACATGTGAAACTGGTGCGACAGGTGCTGAGGGAACTATTGGATGCTAAGCTGTAGGCCAAACTATCAAAATGCGAGTTTCACAAGTCTAACCTAGACTATTTAGGCTACCGTGTGTCTTGTAAAGGGGTAGAAATGGACCCAGGGAAAGTGAAGTCTATCCTGGAGGGCAAGCCCCTAGCCCCCGCAAACAGTTGCAAAGCTTTCTAGGGTTTGCAAATTTTTACAGGCAATTCATCCCCTCCTTTGCCACAATTGCCTTACCAATTACTGAACTATTGAAAACTGAAAAAAGGAGGGGGGAAAGCCCCAGCCAAATCAGCCTTTGAACTGGACAATGAAATGCCAAGTGGCATTTGAAAAACTGAAAGGGCTGTTTGCAGCTGAGCTAGTGTTAAAGTACCCAAACTCAGAAGAGCTATTTGTGATCCAGGCCAATGCCAGTGATGTGGCAATGGGAGCAGTCCTCCTCTAATGAAATAAGGAGAGAAACTGTGCATACATGTCTTGCAAGCTAAATGAGACAGAGCGGTGGTAGGCTGTGTGGGAGAAAGAGGCTTTTGTAGTACGGTGGGTGTTACTAACACAGAGGCAGTTCCTGGAGGGGGCAAGGCTTCCTTTGAAATGAGGACTGACCATAAAAATTTAGATGGACTGAAGACCCCTTGCAAGCTTTCCCCCAAACAAATCTGATGAGTTTAGTACTTCAAAAGATTTGACTTTGAATTAAAGTACATTCTGGGGGGAAAGAATTTTCTTGCAGATGCCCTGTCCCACATGCCCTAGTACAAGAGTACTTGGGAGGAGGTGGTGAGCTCCATTGTTCCCAGTAGGCAATAAGTGGCACAGACTACAACCAGGCAGCAAGAGAAGAAGAGGAGCTCACCTCCCACTGACGTGTTTGCCCAACAATTGAAGCAAGAGCCTCATACTAACGTGTGGTTTATGGCTCATCAGAGATAGTTGACTATGAGGGATGGGCTGGCATGGAAGGGGGACAAATGGTATATCCCAGACTGCTTGCAACTATAAGTTCTGCAATGCAGCCATGATGCTAAGCAAGCGGGTCACTTTGGGTTCCTGAAGATGCTACATCATGCCAATTATCAATTCTGGTGATCAAAGATGAAGACATGTGGGAAGCTGTGCAATCTGTGTGGCCAGCAAGAGGCTACCAGGGAAGAGTCCAGGACTGTTGCAGCAGCTGGCTGATCTTACCAGTCCCTGGGAGGGTATAGCCATGGACTTTATAGTGGAGCTACCAGAGAGTGGGGGAAGTACTGTGATTCGGACTGTAATAGACCTATTTTCCAAGCAAGCCCACTTCATTGCATGTGTTGGACTCCCCTCAGTCCAGAAGCTAGCGAAGATGTTTTGCATCTACCAGCTACATGGAGTGCCTAAATACATCATTTCAGTTTGTGTGGTCCAGTTCACTGCTAAATTTTGGAAGGAGTTTGTAAGAATGATTTGGTGCTCCCAGGAGCTCAATTCTGCTTTCCATCCAAATACGAGTGGATTGGCAGAAAGAGCTAATGCAATAGTGGAATAGTACTTGCATTGCTATGTCAACTACCAGCAAACAAACTGTGCAGAGCTTTTGCCATTTACAGAGGTAGCGTATAACCATGCAGTACACAGCAGCACTGGTTTCACTTCATTAGGTTAGCCACAGAGATGGAGTTCGTGCCAATACCAGAGTGCCCACAGGAGCACTCCCTCCTCGAGTACCCTAAGCGACTGGGTGGGTTCGTTCCAACAGGTTCGGAGCGATGCAAAGAGGGCTAAAGTGGCCAAAAGTCAGAAAAAGCAAGCAGACAAAAAACAAGCTCCCCAGGAAATGTATCATATAGGAGATAAAGTGTATCTGTCTACCAAGTAGCTTAAGCTGAGACAACTTGCAAGAAGTTAGGGCTGAAGTACATAGATCCTTTCTGCATCGTAAAAGTCATTAACCCAGTGACAGTTGAGCTAAGATTACCAAGATTATTGGGTATTCCATTGCAGCTTACTGAAACCATATAGAGCAGTGGTGGCGAACCTATGGCACGGGTGCTAGAGGCAGCATTCGGAGCCCTTTCTATGGACACACGTGCCATTGCCCCAGCCTTGCCTCTCCCTGTGACCCCCTCCTCACCAGCAACCCTCCTGGAGAAGAGTCACCCCCGAGCATGGCCCATGCAGAGCAGTGCAGCCAAGGACATGGCAGCCAGGCGGCGTAGACAAGACTCATGCCCCATTGCACACAATTGATGCTGCAGGATGCAGGCAAAGGGCGTGGCTGCCAGGGCGCTGCTGGGTGATCTGCGGTGAGTCCTGGAGGCAATGATGGCCCTGTGGGCAGGCGGGGTGAGGGCAGAATGGGGGCGGGGGCAGTTTTTGGGCACTCGGTCTCTAAAAGGTTCGCCATCACTGATATAGGGGATCCATGATGAGACCAGTAGGAGAGGCTGCCCCAGCCCCAATAGTGGTAGAAGGGGAAGCACATTATGAAGTTAAGCAAATCCTTGATTCTAGTATCCACAAAGGAAAATTGCAATACTTAATCCAATGAGGGGGACACCCGATGTCAGACGCTAGATAGGTGAAAGCCCAGCATGTAAAAGCAGATGGTTTAGTAAAACATTTCCACACTAAGTACCTCCAAAAGCCAGGACCAGTAGAAGGGAATAATGAATAAGCAATAATGTGTATTCCTTTTTGAGACCCAGAAATCAGCAATGTGAAGAAATAGCCATTTACAGGAGAAACTCCTAATGGGAATGAAGCTTTGTAGAATTTCACCCTAATTAATCAAGATTGCTTAGCCGTAGTTGCTTCTGGATGGGGAACAGGGAACCATGAATTTTTAAGGTCCTCAATAGGAACATTTCTTGGTGATAAACTCACATTAAGAATATATGTTCAATTCCTAATTTATTAACTGATCATCTTGAACTTAGATTGTTGCACATAAATTGACTTAGATATTGCTGCTATGCCAGACTCCTTGCAATTCAAAGGGTTCTTTAGCTATGAAAGCTTTTGCTCCTGGATTATTTTTAACTCTTATATTTGTTTTGGTTTTTGCCTTGATATTTTATTTATTACAGCAGGTGGCACCATTTATATAACTTGATTGCACTTGGAAAAAACTAAACAGGATCAGACCTGATATTAGATGGGAGATCAGCATGTTCCCAGGAGTACATACTAAATTGGGAAGTCAAGAAAGCATCCTGAAAAAATGTATTGATAAATCACGTATTGATAAATCACCTAGAAATTATTGCTAAGAAAGTTATTGGGCATGTCCCTGCAATCTCCAAGAACTTAATTTAAGGAAGACCTGGCTTTTTTATTATAGAAATAAAATATAATCAGTCAGTAAATGTACAGCCTGAGCTGATTTTTTTAGAGATATACCAATCTTACCCAGAATGATCAAACACAATAGTGCAAGTTTATTTATTAATTATGAATATGCAAATCTTTAAAAAATGACACCATTAATAAGAATGAAGTTATAAAAGTATGGGTCTTTAAAACAAGGGACCTCACTAACTTTATTTTTTTAGATCTAATATGGATAGTGATCTAAGGATTGTTGAATTTCATATATAAGTGAATTGAAAAGTGGCATAATTTGAAATATACAGTATAGTTGATATAATAGAGATTAATTATGATGTATCACTTGAAACACATTAAAATAATACTTTCCTGTATGTTTGTAAGTTAATGACTTCCAGAATCAACATCATCTTCTCCTGATGATGTTGATCATAATGAGAAGTAAGTAATATATTTTTCAGGAATAAACTACACTTAAAAATAATGTTCTTTATTGTTGATCTGAAATCAGTGCAGACTTATTAAAGTGGCCTAATTAGAAAAACAAGTTGGCTTTATTTGTAGCAAATAAATGAACACTATAATAGGTATAGTGAAAGCCTGGTTGAGTTCAAGAAGAAACAAAATAAAAATACATCAAACAATGTATATTACCTGAATGCAGAAGTTTGTGAACACACTGTTTCTGCTGTGAAAAGCAGGCCACATACAGAGGCGTTCCTAAGTGAGGAACATCTAGATCAACTTCTATGCCCCAGGAAATCAGCAATTCTAGACAATCACTGTGACCTAAAGAAAGCATAATGTAATTAATCCCTAAAACAAAATCTTAATTTGTTAAATGACTGATATATTTTGTAATCTACTTATTTTAATACTTACCTCTGCTGGCTGCTTCATGAGTTGGTGAAGGAAGATATGTTTCCTGTTGAAGTTTTGCACCATATTCCAACAAAAGTTGTATACAAGATGCACTCCCTCTTGAGCAGGCATTAAATAGGGGGGTTATCCCATCAACAGTTGTGGCATTCACCTAAAATATTGGTTAGATTTATTGATGGGGATAAAATACATGTTTACAAATCATACTTTGTATTTATTGCTCTCTCTTGTATCCAATGTGGTCTGGAGATACGAAAAGGCTAGTGTTTGCAGTGTGACATTTTGACACACATTGCATAATGTTGTCATCTCAAGATGTACCAAATACCTATGTTCCCCTTTTCCCATGCTCAATCCATTCAGAATGCAGTTAAGTAAAGATTACATATACTGTAGGGAAATGTCAGTTTAGTAAAAAAAAAAAAAAAAAAAGTAATAAGCTAGACTTCCAGTAAAATAGGTAATAATACATATTACCTAATGCTTCTAAGAAAAACTTTCTACCTTTTAACCACAGATGATGTGATCACTTACATTTGCTCCTGCTTCGAGAAGTATCTGAGCACATCCTACATGATCTCCAAGGCATGCCTCGTGCAATGGTGTCACTTGATCAATGGTTAAAGCATCTACATTGTATCCCTAAGCACAAAACAAGAAATTAATAATCACAATGAATCTCCTAACTTTTCAATTTCTTAATGAAAGATAAATTACATAACAAGAAGTCTTTATTCAATATTTGTGTAATATTCACATTTAACAATTATTCAAAAGGAATGTAATTACAAAAAAAATTGTATAGTTCAGGACATTTGGGGGTTTGATTAAATACTGTATAAATGGTATAAAACTATGCTTATCGTTTACCAACTAATTACAATTACTATTTTTACAGTTATCTGACTTACTTTTTGTTTTTTGTCCCATGCCAGATTTCAGAAGAAATCTGATAGATTTCTGTTTTTCAGTATGTGGAAATAGAATCAATCACACAGTGCAATTGCTTTGTCTGTCAAAAAGACAGTCTGAGTTGTGCTACAACATGGTTTATTTAACAAAAGATTATAGGAGAAATCAGTGATTCAGTTCAGGATTCTTCAGCACCGCTTTCCCCACATCCAGCTAGTTCAGATATGGGAAGGATCTCAGATCCCATCATCTTTCGGCTGGCTGGAGGGCTTGGCCTATAGAACCTCTAGAATTGCAATGTAAAAATCCCAAAACTATTGGAGAAATGGTAATTCTGCTAGTGTTGTTGATGATAATTGTTGTGTTCATGATTCGTGTGCAATTGATGAAGACACATGGTGACAATTAACAAACGCTTTATTCTCTTTCTCTTACAACCAAGCAAACAGCAAAGGCACCCAGGCCTTTTATAGGGCCAGAAACCCAGACAGTGTTAACCAATAGGAATTGAGCATTTTCACACCTTGCAGATGCGCACAAGGCTGGCGCCAGTTTGTCTGGTCCTGGGCAGCTTTTGGAATGCCCGGGACCATTTGCAACATTCTGAGCCTGCTTTCAGCTCTTGCAGGCTCAGGACACAACACCCCCCCCCCCTAGATGGAATACACCTAGCTTATGCACAGGTGCGCTGTGCCATGCAGGGAGATTGGCACACAGATGCATTGTTCAAATGCAAGGAGGGTGGAAATGCTCGGGTCTGCATGCAAGCAAACACCTTTACAAAATAGTTATTAATTCAAATAAACATATCCAAAATTAAAATAATATATGAGACTCTTACTAAGTGTTAACCCCCTCATTCAGCAACCTCATAGCAAAATTCCTTATGTGTTGACAGGAACCTCACATATTCTTCTAGATGTTTCAGCGGGCACTTTGCCCACTGCGACCTTCTAAGGTGAGGGTGCCTGGCCTACCTGCTCATCTACCAGGATACCCAGGTGACCCACCCAGCTGCTGACTGGCTGGACTCTCTGAGTCCAAGCCAGCATACCTTGGAGGGGTGGAAGTCCCCGAGTCCACAATGGACTCCTCTTGGGAACACTGTCCCTTGAGCCCAAGGCCAGCAGTTGGAGAGGCCTGGGTGGCAGAAGTGCCCCAGTACTCCATAGCCCCCGAGCACATGCTAGAGATGCCAGAGTCAGGAGCCGCCTCCATGGCAAACCCCCTTGCTACTGACTTCCTTTTCGGAGCAATAGCTGAATTATGAGAGTGCCCCTGATGGAATTCCCTTTCTATAGATTTATGTGGATACCCCCGGTCTGACTCTCTGTCTGGAGCAATAACGGATGTGCGGGATGACCCCCTATCCTGGGAATTCCTGCTTGGAGCACTTGCGGAATCTTCGGATGACCCCCAAACAGCCTCAGCAGCTTGTGAGGCCCTGTTAGGCCTAGGAACAGGTGACTCAGAACCCATGTTATGGTCCTCCTCCCCCCCCCCAGAGCAAAGCCAGGAGCAGAGACATGGCTGTCCAGCCTCCAACGCAGTTGGTCTATGTGTCTGCGAAGAACGCGGCCATCTTCCAAGGCAACTTCATATGACAACGGCCCAGAGACCTTACAAACCACAGCTGTGACCCAAAGATGTCCAGGCCCATAGTTCCTAGCCCAAACCGGATTGCCCACCTGAAGTAGGTGCCCGCGGCTGTGACATCTGTGAAGCCACCCGGTCTGGGTGCAATCTGTCCAGTTTGGTAATGAGGCGGCGACCCCAACGGAGTTCTGCAGGCCTCTTCCCCGTGGTTGTGCATGGTGTGGTGCGGTGTGCAAGAAGGAAATCTGCTAACCTGTGATGCCAGTTACCATAAGTCAGTTTCTTGAGAGCATCTTTGGTAATGTGCACCATTCTCTCTGCCAGTCTGTTGGAGGAAGGGTGGAAGGGAGCAGAAGTCACATGCCGGATCAAGTTGGCCTGAAGAAAAACCTGGAACTCAAAAGAGGTAAATTGAGGGCCATTATCTAAAACCAGGACATCTGGAAGCCCGTGCAATGCAAAAATTCCTCTCAACACCGGATGGTCCTGGCAGTAGTATTGGAGGAAACAGGAACAACCTCTAGCCACTTGGAATGGCTGTCAACAACGATCAGGAAGAATTGCTCCTGAAAGGGCCCAGCATAATCTATATGTACCCTTGACCATGGGGTTTGAGTTTCCTCCCACCTATGTACTGGGGCCTGAGGCATTTCAGGCCGTTACTGTTGGCATAGTTGGCACCCGTGCACCTGAGCCTCGAAGGCTTTATCGATCCCAGGCCACCAAAGATGGCTGCGCGCAAGCGCTTTCATCCTGACTATACCAGGATGTCCCTCATGCAGAGAGAGCAAGACTCTAGACCTCAATGAGGCTGGGATTACTACCCTGCTACCCCATAACAGGCAACCCTTGAAAGTGGAAAACTCATGCTTCTTGTGCCAGAAGCTTTGGAACTCAGTATCTGGGCACTTGTCAGGCCATACTGACAACACCCAGGTCAGCACACGTGTAAACGTGTGATCAGTGGCAGTTTCTGTAGCTACATCCCTAGCATTTAGGGGAGATTCAGGCAACTCCTGAATGGAAAGAATATTAATGGCAGGAGCAAGGTCTGCCTCTGCCTGTTTCAGAGGTAACCTGTTTAGGCCATCTGCGTGACCCATCTCTTTACCAGGTTTGTGAACTAGAGTGTAGTCATATGCTGACAGGAAAATGGACCATCTGAGTATATGAGGAGAAATGATATGTGGTGCCTGTTTGTTAGTGGTAAACAAACCCAGCAGAGGCTTATGGTCTGTATAGACCGTGAAGTGGTGGCCATATAAGAAATCATGGAATTTCTTTATGCCAGCCACTATGGCCAAGGCTTCTCTGTCAATCTGAGCGTAATTTCGCTCTGTAGATGACAGAGTCCTTGAAAAATAGGCCACAGGGATTTGTGTCCCATCAGCCTTCAGATGGCTAAGTACTGCACCCACCCCATAAGGAGATGCATTGCATGCGATGCAAATAGGCAATTGCTCATTGAAATGCGCTAAAACAGCATTTGAAGTGAGCAAGGCCTTAACCTCATTGAAACTCCTGTCATGGACTTTGGTCCACTGCCATGGAGCCTTCTTGTTTTAAGAGCCTGTGTAACAGTTCTGCCACTGCAGCCTTATGTGGGAGAAATGCATGGTAAAAATTTAAGAGCCCCAAGAAGGCTTGCAGCTCACTCTTGGACTTGGGACTTTGGGGCCTGTTGAATAGCTTGCAGTTTGGATTCAGCAGGGTGAATGCCTTAGGCATCAATCTTGAAACCTAAGAAGTCAGTGGAAGTGACTCCTATCTTGCATTTATCCTGCTTTAATTTAAGGCCTGCTTTTCGAAAATGAAGCAAGACAGCCCTTAACCTTTCTGCTAAATTTTGAGATGACTCCCCAGCAATGAGGACATCATCAAAGTAGGGACAGACCCCAGGAATACCACGAAGTATGCTCTCCATGACACTTTGGAATATGCCAGGGGCTATATTTACCCCAAATTGCAATCTTTTGACCTTGAAGGCTCCCTGTGAGTTACAAAAGTCTGAGCCTCTGCAGATGCCTCATCAACAGGTAGCTGTTGATAGGCCTGTGCCAGGTCAAGTTTCGCAAAAATCCTTGAGGGAGGCCAGAATGTGGCTTACAACAGGCACTGGATAAGCATGCTGTTGCAACGTTTTATTCAGTGTGCCCTTATAGTCTGCACATATACGGATTTCCCCATTAGCCTTTAGAGGTGTTACTATGGGGGTTTCCCATGGACTAGAATCCACAAGTTCTAAAATGCCCTGCTGGAGCAATTTGTCCAGCTCAGCATCTATCTTACCCTTGAGGGCAAAAGGTGCCCTCCTAGACTTGACCCTGATGGGCGTGATGGTTGGGTCTAACCGTAGCGCAATGGGAGACCCCTTGTAGGATCCTAGCTCTGAACTAAACACATCTGCAAACTCCTTGCAAACCTCTGCAAGGCCCAACATTTGCAAGTTGTGCAGCCCAGTTACTAGGATTCCCAGAGCCTTGAACCAATTGAGTCCAATAAGACTCGTACGTTCACCCCCAACTACCACCACATCCAGGGAACCTTCAAAATCCTTACGCTGTACCTTGAGTGTGGCCTCCCCCTTCACACAGACCTTGAATTTTGAAAATCAGTGAGTATTAGGTTCGATGGCCTAAGTTTAACTTGAAGGCCACTGTTGCTGCAAATCCTTTTGAAGGTGTTAATTGAAATAATTGGGAGAGCGGACCCTGTGTCCAACTCCATCAATAAGGAAACCTCTTGCAACCTCATGATAATGTGAAGTTTCTTCTTAAGGGGCTTGTGTGTCCCTGTCCTTAGAATACTCCTGTACGATGCGCAAAAGCCCACCCTGTGTTGGCTGGGGACCCTGGTACCTTTCTGAAGCAATTCTTCCTGAGGTTGGACCTTCTGGCGACCCAAACAGATGGAGGCGATGTGGTCTTGCCTGCCACACGCTCTGCAAATAGCAGAGCAAAACCTGCAGTCAGCTCGCTTGTGGCATCCTCCACACCTGAAGCACTGAAGAGATGCTGGGGCCTTGTCCGGACATCTCTTCGGCCTCCTCTCAGCTGGCTGGTGAAGTCTGTCCACCTCCTCTCCAGGATCCGCTTCTGATTCTTCTCAAGCATCCTCTTGATGGACGGTAGCTATGGTTGGAGGGTTCCTGGCAAACCGCAAAGCCTTCACAGCCCCACCTGCTGCTTCCTCAGCTGCCACCTCTTGTAACGCGTCTTGGAAGGAAGCATCTTCTTTTGCAAAAATCTTCTGTTGTAAGTCTTTGCTTCTTAAGCCACATACAAAGTGATCTCGCAGCCTCTCTTCCAGATCCTTGAATTCACAAGGCCTGGCTGCTTGCCTTAAGGCCACAATAAAGTCCGCAGCAGATTCACCTGGCCTCTGGTCTCTCTGCTCAAATGTGTGCCTCCAAGCAATGATGGATAACTTCAGCTGGAAGTGTTCCTTCAACATCTTTTTCAAGTCAGCATATGTTACTGACTCCAGAAGTGCAGGGGCCACCAGATTTTCTGCGATGTCAAAAGCTTCTTGTCCGCAGGCACACAAAAGAGTTGCTGCCTTCAGACCATCTTCTCTTATCTGATTTACTCTAAAGTAGTTCTCCACCCATGCTATGTAGGAATTCCATCTCTCTGGGTGGGAGACATCAAAATCAGTCAAGCGGCCAATCTTCAACATCGTAAAGTTTACGACCTTCACCAATCACCTCCTCTGCAAGCTGATGTTTGGGAAAGGGTCCTTTTGCTGAGCTCACCCCCAGCGACTCTGTACTGGCAGGCTGAGATGCTGATGTAGACGCCGTCTTCCCCCTCGTCAGGACTTCCTGGGTGAGTCCTTAATTCTTTTTTTATTGCTTGCAGAGGATCCCACCTTCATCGCCAGTGTTGTGTTCTTGGTTTGTGTGCAATTGATGAAGACACATGGTGACAATTAACAAATGCTTTATTCTCTTTCTCCTACAACCAAGGAAACAGCAAAAGGCATGCAGGCCTTTTATAGGGCCAGAAACCCAGACAGTGTTAACCAATAGGAATTGAGCATTTTTGCACCTTGCGCATGCGCACAAGGCTGGCGCCAGTCTGTCTGGTCCCGGGCAGCTTTTGGAATGCCCGGAACCATTCGCAACGTTCTGAGCCTGCTTTCAGCTCTTGCAGGCTCAGGACACAAAAATAATGTAGTTAGTGGCATCATTACTCATGTTACTCATAATTACATACGTTTATGACATCAGGGGAGTCCCAGCACTGCAAATTTGGAGATCCTCTGAAATATAGAAAATTCTAAAGTTTTACTGCCATGGGAACTTAGAGGTTTTCAGGCTTTTAGCTATTTTAAACATGAAAAGATGCCATTCTTTTAGAATAGTTAGTACTTAGAATAGTTTTGAATTGACTTGTGGCATGGGGATCTGCATGTTGAAATTGTTTTAAGTCACCTTAAAGGTTTGCAGAAATATGGGATGTAACTTTAATAAGGAAAATAAAAATACAGTAAAAAACCTGCTTCACCATTTAAACTAGCCATAAATTGCACAGAATATCTACAGCAAATATTTAGTATAAGAAGGGTAGTGACTGGGTATTAAAGTTTCAATAGTAGAAGGCAGGGGGCTAACTAACATATCCTTCCTCATCAATTTTATTCAAATAGGAAGTAATTCTTGGATAAATTGGAATAATGAGCAGTTCTGGGTTGTATAGCCTGCAGAATCATATTAAAGAACTATCCAGTTTAAGACCATAATTCACATTGTGTTTAAGGTAATCTCATTCTGTAATCATATCCTGATTTTGGTTATCTTTGTTTAACTACAGCCTTGTGCTTTTTGTTTGTGTGGTTGTTATTTAGTTTTAAAAATCACATTGGTTGGCTGTGTCCTGCAAATGTAGCTAAAATACTGATTGCAGAAGAGAGGTACATACAAATCCTTATCACAAAATAAAGCTCATGTGCACACTTAGTAGGAAACCTTTAACAACAATGTGAATTAGATGATTTTATCACCTAAGCCTGGATAGCAATGATTTGGTTAGTTTTTCTATTGTAAAACTGGTAGTGTTCAGAATCCTAAAACAGTATGCCTGGATATTTATTACTTCCTACACTTGGAAGGAATGTATCTAATTCTGATCTGTTTGTCATCATCACTGTCATATATGCTATGGTAAGATTCTTTGACCTGTATAAACAAGTAAAGAAACCACAGAAACCAAAACTTGTAATTAATGAACAATGAAGTAATACCATTTTCATGTTTAACAAAGCAGTAAAATGCTTTTACATTTGACAGAAATGAACATTGATTTTAGTTACATTTTCACATTTTACCTGTGTAATTAATGTTTTGAGAGAAAGAAGACGCCCTTGGCTTGCTGCTTCATGCAGGGGTGAGCGATCTGCCCAAGAGCCTACGGAACAATACCATGGCATAGTTTAAATTACAAAAATAATTTTCATTAATGTAAAAGAACTGATTACAAACAACATACCGTACATAACTATCAGTATACAGGTAGTCCTCTAGTTAAGTTCATAATGTATCCTGCTCATTACAATGATAAAGTTACTGTATGTGAATCACATTAAATGAACAAGCCTCCCTCCCTGCTCTCCCCAATTCATTTGTTAATCAAATACGTTAAGTGTGCATGGGATATCTCAGAGGTAGGAAAGACCATGGAGGGCCCTAGTGTAGAAACAAGACCACTTTCCTCCAGTCACCCAAGGTATTGCCCATCTACTGAGATATCTCATGCTCCTTTTCCCACCCCTTGGGGTCCCCACAACTGCTTGGGGCTTCTCCACACCAACACCTTATCATTGATTGTTTACTTACCTTTCAAAGAGCTCCAGAACTCCAGAACAGGCTGGGCCACATGGTAGAAAAGGCCATGTTCTTTTCAGATTCTGGCAAAGCTATTTTCCTTAAATCTCACGCTCTTATACATTTTTGCTCAGAGAATGGAATCGTCTATAAGAACACAAGATCTATTGCATCTTTGAAAGTCTTGTCTGGTCCAAGCCTGGACGGTGCACAGTACCCTCTGCACACTGCTGGGCAATTGGTTTGAATGAGCTGCTTTGGGGATTGTGGTGCGAAGGTGGCAGCAACAGTCAATCAATGTGGGGCATTTTTCATGCTGGTTTTGACTGGAGCAAACAGGACTGTGAGGTGAATGAGCAGCTGTAGCAGGAGAGTGAGCCAGAGCAGCGGCACTGTCACTGGGGACACCATGCCTGGGAGTCTGTGCCGCCTGTGCTTACTCGCCTCCTGTGGTGCCTTGGGTGCCAGAGCCCTGGGTGCACTTCTGGTGTGGCGGGCAGGTGCCCCACAGCTGCCTGTATCACTGGAAGGGTCCTCTCACTCCAGGTGATCCCAGCAGCCTGTAGGCACTTCCCTGCCCACCTGATCTTCCCCAGGGCACAGCCGGCAAGTGGAGGATAGCTGGTGCATCAAGCTCTCCATCTTTCCATCCATCTCCATGGTGGTGCAATTGATGAGGTCCAAATGGGTTCAGTGCTTCACTGGGTGGCCAGCATTTAAGAAAAAGGTGACCGCTTTTTTCTCATGTGGCAAAGCCTGTTCTGGAACTCTGGAGATCTTTGAAAAGTAAGTGAGGGACCAGTACTGGGTTGGGGAGGAGCACATGGAACTGGGTGGGCTAGCAAAGCTGGCCCAGTTCCTGTGGAAACCCGGTGGGACAGGATGGGGGGGGTGAATAGGCAGGGGGTATGTTTCAGTGTCTCTGTGATCAATCGTAAGGGCAAATAACTGCTGTGGTATTGCAATATACGTAACGTACGTATTGGGAAGGGTGTCATAACTTTGAACTATCACTAAGTGAATTGTCATAACTCAAAGACTACCTGTACTATGAAAGCTCTCATTGTCATGACCTTTACGTGGGTGAAACAATACATCACAGGGCAACAATGTTTGAACCAAGGTACCTCCAAAGGGCTAATTCACAGAATATATGTAAAATCTGGGACCTGTGACTCCCTAGGGAATAAAATTTGAGAACATTGTGGCTGCTTCTGTGCTACTAACTGCTGCTGTGCTGGCTGGCCTGCTGCTGAGGTCACATCATTTTTATTTTCATTATTTCATTTCCTGGCCAGTTTTGCAATCTCTCAATCCTTCCCCCATCTAGCAGTAGGAACTTATTTATTTGCCTGCTAAAAATAGAAAGGAAAGGAAAGGAAAGGAAAGGAAAGGAAAGGAAAGGAAAGGAAAGGAAAGGAAAGGAAAGGAAGGGGGAGGGGAGGGGAGGGGAGGGGAAAGAAGGAAGGAAGGATTTCTGATATTCCCTGCCAGATCCCCACAAGGAAACTCAATGAGGAAGCCTGTAGGAAATTGGAAGTTGCTTCTGCTCCCACTGCTTTTTTGCCCAATCATTTTGTTTCTTTGTTAAGGAAGGAAGTATCTTTGAAATAATGACCCAATGGGCCTTGGGTTATCTAGTTGTTACTAAATCTAAATCTCATCCCTCAGTATACATCTGGTGAATCATTCTCTGAATGGAAAAAAATGATAATGGTATTCTTTTTTTTTTACATTTATCCACACATGGAAATGCTTTTAAGGTTGTAAACCTAAATATGAATGAAATATTGGAACTGAGCTGCAAGTTCCATTAGCTGCAAGTTAGTTAATGGAATTCACTTAATATAGTTCTATAGCCAGAGGGAAATGGCCCCTATTTCTTTTACCATATCAAGATACTGGTGTGTCTTTCAGCTCTTGCCCTATTGCGCAAACTAAGCAATTCAGTGCATGGGTTCAAAACATATTGCTAAATAGCTGAAGGAAAATCCAGAAATACATATGTGCTTTCCAATGCTCATTCCCTGCAGTAAATAAAACTCTTCTGATTTAAATTCAATGTAGATGTGTACATAATATTTGTTTTTAACACTGCACAAAATTCTACCACGCTATGGTAAAAGGAACAATATGCTATTTATATCAGAAAATGAAATATAAGCCACATATTTTGCAAAAGATTATTGTGTGAGCAACAGATCCCAATATGTATGGTTGCTATTTACAACTTCCTTCATCCATCCTCTGCAGAGAATTCATTACACTTTTGTGCTAACTTGTTTTACTGCCAAATGAGCTTTAAAAGCTGCAGCATTGGGGAAAGCGTATCCAGTGTATAAAGTGCCTGATTAGTATCCCTGAGGCATTCTGAGCTTGTATGTACTAGGACTATTAATTTTGTTAAAAGTAGAATACTGCAGTCAAAATCTTTCTGTTAGTTTTCACTTTCCCTTGCAAAACATATTGATTCATATCCTTGCTAACTTTCCTGTTTCCTCCTATTCCTCCCTTTAAATGTATATGCTGTGCTTCTTAGAAAATCATGGCATGTGTCATTATTGCAAAGCCATGAAATTCATTTTCTCACAATGTCAGGATAGAATTCAAAACTCTGCACTGAACTAAGCCTGTGTCTACTGTCTCTATTATAGCTATACTAAGAGCAAATATAGATTAGTTATCTCACTTCAAAAGTATTTATTCCCTGTGGGCCTCCTTTTTCTATTAATTAGAACTAAAGGTTATCTCCCATATTTGATATTGGATTTTAATCTGCCTTGCAAGTAGCCTGTTACGGTTACATTTGCAAAGAAAAAGGGATTGTAAAATGTTTGTATAATTCATATGAGAATACTGTAAGTTACTTCTTGGAGGAATGTTTCATCCTGCATTCTCTCCTCCTTCCTCCATTTAATTTCTACAGGCTATTGGAAAGGACAAGACCATAAAGCTGTATTCTGACATTTTAAAACCCCATACAGAAAATGCCGAAACAATCACTATTTCTAAACTACTAACCCAAAGTCCAACAAGACACTGAGATTTTTGTCAGTTATGTAATGAATTCTTGTTTAATGATTGGTGGCAGAATTGTAAGGTATCCCCAACCCCCGGTCCGTGGACCAGTACCGGGCCACAGCATGCCAGCAACTGGGCCGTACAAACAAACAAAGCCCCATCTGCAGGATGCCGGCAGCACACAAAATCACGCCCCCTCTGGTCTGCGGAAAAACCTCTCTCCACAGAACCGGTCCCTAGTGCCCAAAAGGTTGGGGGGCTCTGCCCTAGAAGTAACAGAGGTGTGATTTAATATACAAAAGTCTTTCAGTACAGTACTTGATTTTATCAAGCTTCCACAGCATGGCATGCACTGAATTGTAATGGAGAGAGAATCAAGTTCCAATTCAGTCTAGTTCTTTAAATTTAAGGAGAAAAGTATTAAAAGGATTAGTTGGAGGGAAAATACAAATCTAATATTGTTAGTCTAACATTTCCTTATGATTCTTTTTTCACTGATTGAAATGCAAAGTACCAGTGGCTATATTTAGATTCTGCATTGCAAGTCATATGGTATCTAATTTACGAGGAACAAGAGCTGCAGTTCTGTAAATATTGCAGAGATCAAAGTTAAAATGCTACCATAAACAGAAAAAAATAAGGAAAGTTTTAAACATTGTATACAGTACCTAAATCTCCATCTCCCCATGGCATTTCCAGCCAATTTTGACTATAAATCCTGCTCATTTTAAATAAGAAAAACTGTCTCTTTAGCTGATTCTTGTTAATAACACGTCAGCCATATTTGGAAAGAGCTTCTTGCACTCAGTATAAAATGAACTTTCACCTGTAAAGACACTGCAGAAAACAAATATCCAAAGACCTAAGTTTAATATTTCAGCTTTCATTGCTCAGCCCTGTATAGCAGAAATGTTATCTGCAACATTGCATAATTTAAAATATATACAGTATTTCATTTTATAATCAACTATGTGATCTAAATAATAATGATTTGAATTTGGCTCTAGATTCAAATATCTGCTCTGAATTTATTAAGTAAATTTGAGCAAAATAATCACTTAACCTCATTTATATCTTTAAAAGAGAAAGATAAGTACTTTATTTTATACAACTTTTGTAAAAAGAAATGTAATAAAACAACTAATTATTTCAGAAGTTAAATGTTTAAAGTTAAACTTTGCAATATCATGTTATGAACTCAGTGTCATATACTGTGAAAATGGTCACATGTAACTAGACAATAAACTATCAATTTCCCCAAATTTTCTGTTTGTATAAAAGTATTTCTGAAAAATACTGTGCTCTCACATTATTACACAAACAATTAGCTGCAGTGTTATCTTTAAATTTTTGTAAGAAATGACTCATATATAATTTCTGGATTTATATGTAAGCTATAATTTTCTATAGGTCAGAGATTAATTTATGGCTTCATGGTAACTTATATGCTCAGTGTCTATGAAACATTATTTGTTTGAATAGTCCTTTTTGACCGAAATATCTGAATCATGGTTTACAACCAGTCTAAGACAGCAGAGAGGAGGGCATTTTTCTTACAATTCC